CATGCCCACTAGTTATTATGAAGGCAGTATATCCAGATCGTAAGGAAAAATGTCAATTTGATGCTATATGTCATATAACAACATCTAAGTGAATATTTTGCAATAGATTTTAAAGCACAGTTTATTATAATTGTGTATGTGTGTATGTGTGTAATACTCTTTGTCTTAAAATTATACATAAATTTTCGATTTGATATACAAAGAGTAAATCGATGGATGTATTAGTATTACAATCAAGTCTCCGTAATGTTTTAAAGTCTGGACTCTAGATTCTGCAAAATTACAGACCCAATTACTTAAATTACAAAATTCTCCGCTTTATAAATTATATTTCTATCAACACGTATATACACACACACTTTGACAATACTTAGATTAAGGTGGTACTGAAGTCGCCTATATATATTGCGACTGTTAGGGCCATTCTACAATGAGTTGCAAAAGATAGCAACTACTACCAACTACTAGAGGAAAAATGCTATTTTTAGTTGCGCTGTTTAGTTGCGGTTGCTAAAACAAAGTTAGTCAACTTTTGGCAACAGCAATTACGACCGCAACCGAAAATAGTACTTTTCTCCTAGTAGTTATCATCTTTCGCAACTGGCGACGGAACATTTGCAACTCATTGTGGAATGGGCCTGATACAAGTAATATCAACTATGGAACGTCGTTAGTGTAAGATAATTTTGCAATCACACGGTCGTCAAGCGACCTCTTTATGTATATCAGGGATCGATAAGGTAACTATCGATCCAGTTCGACTTCGATAGATCGCATAGGCGGCGCTGTAAAAGCTGCCGAAAGAGCTCGTCTCACGACACGAGTTATTGGTTGCGTGAAAACTCGGAGTAACGACGTGTGAATCTTTTGTCTCTCGGCTAAGAACGTCGATTAGTCATTTATAAGTTACGCGTTGTTTCTATAACCATTTTGATTAATTTTTGTATATCTATTCAGTGTAGTTTAAGGTAGCAGTTAATAATTAGAAGCATTATGTTTGTGTTATGAATTCGTTCTTTTTACACCGCACTGCCGCTCTCCTCTTAAGTGCTCCTGATTCCTTATGTATTCCATGATTCTAAAAGAAGAGAATCTTACAGCTACGAAATAAATATCAGAAGTGGGATCCTTACTCCGTTTCTCTTTTCTTTCTTTAACATCCACGTACTTGCTCCGTTCCTCTTTTACTTTCTTTTCCGCACATACGGCTCCGATTTGAGCATCAACGCCCGGTTCGAGCTTCCTACTCCGATTTGCTCCATTTTGTGTCACGTCGTGAGTGCTCCGATTTCCCGGTGCTCTGTTCCGCTCAGTTTCCGATTTTCCGTTTATCTGTGTTTCTCCAACGAGTGAGTCTGAAGTTTATAAAAAAAAATTATAAATCCTATCTCAAATTCCATTGTGAAATTTCGCTAAATCACGCAACGCTAATCCAAGTATCACGCATCACGTGATCAAGGATACAGCCTACACATCACGCACTGTTTGCGCTCGATCACGTGAAGGTCTCCGACAATAACAAACATGGACCGAGAAACTCTAAACCAGCTGACCTTGGAACAGCTGAAGAAGGAAGCCAAGAGATTACGGTTAACGGTTTCTGACGATCCAAAACAGTTGATCGACGCGTTGATGACGCATTATGAGCAGAGTAGATCGGCAGATCAAGTACCCGCATCAGTCGCCGGTGCTGCATCTTCTGTTTAGTCTCGGGTGGTCACGAGGCTCGCCGCGCGTCTTGCAACCCCTAACGATCAGCCGTCTCCAGTCTCGCCGGTTACCGACCAGCCATTATCGTCTGAAATGGTGACCTAGGTTACGTCTCTCACCAGCGCGATGCAGTCTATGCAGCAACAAATTTTAGAAAGCCAGCAACGCCAACAGGATTTTTTACAGCAAATGCTCACCACTTTTACGCAGTCGCAAACTACTCCAAACCATTCTAATGAGGGATCAGTGCAGGATCGACGGGCATCAGGCGCGCTGACGCCGTACAGTCCAAGCTCACCTCGCCCATCGACCTTGGCGTCAGTATCATCTGCACATGCAATCGCCCTGTTAGCGTCACAGATTCCTGAATTCAGCGGTCACGAGGATGAAAACGTCCAGCTCTGGATCAGCAGAGTCGAGCATGTTGCTCGCATCCATAAGGTATCAGACAAAGTAACTTTATTAGCTTCTTCAACAAAATTAACTAAAATCGCTAGAAGATGGTTCGATTTAGGATCCGGCTCCATGTTAGAAACATGGAATGGGTTTAGAGACGCTCTTTTAAAACATTTTTCAAGAAAGGTGCTATACCATGTCGCCATTCAGAAAGTAGAAGCGCGTAAGTAGATCTCTCATAAAGAGTCCTTTTCGGATTATGCGATGGATAAACTCGCTTTGATGCATAGTCTACAGCTCGACGAGGATAGCACCATCCATTTATTAATCGGCGGTATACCAAACAGATCTTTACGTGAAACAGCCGCTTCATTAAGGTCCGAGTCTGTAGATCAGTTATTAGAATCAATGCATCAAATTACCTCTGTCTCTGCAGATTATGATAAAAGAAGCTTGCCTGTCAATAAGCCGCAGTCTAAGGAACCTGCTGAGAAGTCTACCTCAAAAAACAGTCCGTCTAAAACAAATGGGAAGGAGCAGTTCTGCGTATATTGCAAAACCAGAGGACATCTACGCGCAGACTGTTACAAGTTGAAAAGGAAGGAACAAGCTACCTCGGCAGCATCTCCTACGACGACATCCTCGTCCACGATCTCCGCCGTCGAAACTACAAAATCGCCGTCCACCATAGCGTTAGTACGTCCGCCCAACGGTAGGGAAATACGCTTTAAAGACTCGCCTTTGAAGGTTACTCAACTTGACGACTCTTTGTGCTCTTTAACAGCTTTGCTGGACACAGGGAGCCCTATTTCTTTTGTCAGGCCTGTAATTTTAGATAAGATACTAAATATTTCAAAGGATTCACTTGAAAACACGGATCATTGTTATAAAGCTTTGAATAACCAACCTGTTCCTGTTTCCGGGTTGTTTACTACTACAATTTCGTTTAATCAATTGCCCAATTTAACACTGCCAATCACATTACACGTATTAAAAAATAATGATCTGGCTACGGACATAATTATCGGGCGAGACTTCTTGAACTCGCAAAATATAATTGCAGTTTATGATCCTACGATGTTTAATAATGATCATTGTTCAGAGTCACCTTCAATGGCCGACGAATAATCGTTTGCGCAAACTTTATTGCGAATATTGATTTGCGAGACTGTAAATAAATCCGATTGCGTGTATGAAGACATTGTTATTGATTACGGTTCCGATTGTAAAGCCGATTTAATACGCTTGCTAAAACAAATTGACAATTTGTCAGTGGAGAACATTGAAGATAATTATACAGTTAAAATTCATCTTAAGGATAATTCGGTTTTCGCTTACGCTCCACGACGCTTCGCCCATGCCGAAAAGTTACAAATTCGTGAAATAACCGACGACCTTCTAGCTCGCGGTATTATAAAGCGTAGCACCTCTCCATACTGCGCGAGAGTAGTGCCAGTGAGAAAGAAAAATGGCCAATTACGTTTATGCGTCAATCTTAGGCCACTTAACGATCGTGTCGTAAAACAGAAGTATCCGTTTCCGTTGATCGAGGATTGTATTGCAAGCTTAGGTAACAAAACTGTTTTTACGCTCCTTGACTTGAGAGACGGATTCCACCAGATAAAAGTTGACGAAAGTCACACGAAGTATTTTTCTTTTGCAACGCCCGACGGGCAATTCGAGTACACGCGCTTGCCATTTGGATTCTGTGAGGCTCCGGCCGAATTTCAGAAACGCGTTGTACAGATTCTTCAACCTCTCATAAGAAAAGAGAAAGTAATCGTTTACATCGATGATATAATGATAGCTACTGAAACCGTTGAAGAAAATTTGAAAATACTTCGTGAGGTCTTGGTCACTCTTAAACAATACAATCTTGAATTAAACATGCCTAAATGTAAATTTCTTCAGAAGAAAATCGAATACCTTGGATATATTGTCGCGGCAAACAAAATAACTATAAGTTCGCGTCATACGCATGCAATCAAAAACTT